TCCAAAAACGACGTCCGAGACGATGGTGGCAAACGCAGTTATATACCAATAGATCATCACACGGTTTGCAACAACTTAATAACGGAATTGTCATTTTGCGTTTTTGCTGTTGTTCCCTTTGTGAACGCTACCTGTTCCCTTTGTGAACGCTACCTGTTCCCAGGCATCATTTTTTTAAATTTATTGTAATTTTGAATCCCACAACAATTCCGCTGCTCTGTAATGCTCTATAAGCAAAAGAGTTTTTTTACAGAGATGAGCGCGTGCTCGCCGCACCGGTATGCCAGTCCAAACATGTACTACTTCGTCGCGAGCCATTCGTTTGATGTTGCGCTGAAAAACCGACAGAGCCTGGATCGGGCCGAACGGCGAGCTGTAACGCCAATCAGGTTCGCGACGGTGTTCTTTTCACCGTCTACACTAGCGCGGCGCGGTTCGTCGCGTGTTGTTACATATCTGTACATGGCTTTAGAAAGTTTGCGCTACAGAGAATCAATTAATGAAAAGAAAAGATGCAAAGCGACACCAATGGTCACCGGTAGATAGTGTTAGTTTCTGATACCGCACAACACGGGTATTACGTATCTTCGGTGTTTTTTTTTTACATTTCGTAGGCTTTTCTACAAGATTGTCAACTTAACAGTTAGCTTTTTGTGAACTCGTTTTGTAGCTGTACGTGCTGCTTAAACGTCAGCGAACAGCGATCGTAGCAAGCAAACGTGGAATGAACTTGCACACTAAAAATCCCAACTAACAATTATCACTCCTATTAGAGTTGCAAGAATGATTATTCAGTATTCCTTAAACAGCATACTGTAAGAACATTGGCAAAACCCTCTTAGAACTGCTATACAAGCGAAATGGGCACACCTAATAGGACACTTGAGTCATTTAAGAGGTTGTATAAGGGCTGCAGGTAACAGTTATACAACAAAAGTGTAAGCCTCTTGCAGCCGCTATAGGACATTTGCGTCAGTGCAAGATTCAGTTTTTGTCAACTATACAACTATTCTGTTACGTGGTTCTACTTTATTGCAACCAAACTATTTCTTATGTATTGTATAGACGAGGAAGAATATATAACTAACAACACATTACAGTCATATTGTTTACTTACATATCGGCCATTGTGAATTGCATACACAGATATATGATAAACTTCTACACTGTTATATAGATAGGGTTTTTGAATTACTTGCGCAGCAAATTTTATTGTGATTATCGTGCAAATTAGTTACGGGCTTCGTATTTGATTCATATTTTGATAATGATCAAAAGTATGTCTAGAATTTTTAAGATGGAAAACTGAACTTACACTGATCAACAGCCAAAAAATATCCTAAATAAAATCAACAAAATATTACTATTTTTAATGTGCTAAAACCGGAATGAAACTTATTTTTCCAATATTAGTTCAAGTTTTAGAGATACGGTAATTATATCTGTTCCTGCTGTGACAGTGTTAATATACTGTAATTCACAAGAATGCACGTGCTACATTTTTATATTCGGCAAAGAAAGATGATGTAATCGGCATGATTGTGTTACGTTATACATACGTGTACATTATATTGTTTTATATTAGCCATTTTTTCATCAGTTGGCTGACAGCGTTCATGCAAGATGTCTCGAAAGTGTGTAGACAATCCAGATCAGTTTTGTTATCCTACACTTGCGAATCAGATCATGGCGATCGAGTGATTCGCCAGGAAGAAGATATGCCATCAACGTCAAGACATCCTAATTTTATACCGAGCACGTCATGCCACCAACCGCACAAAATAACACAGTCAGAATTAAATGATCTTGTAAGAGATTTATAACTTCCAAAATGTAAGGCAGAGTTACTTGGATCAAGACTGCAGCAGTGGAACTTGTTAGAAGACGATGTTTCGGTATCTGTTTTTCGTAAACGCCACAAACCATTTTTCAATGTTTATCACTTTATATCTGTAATTTCGAACTGAAACATAATTATTTAATATTAAATAGAGGAATAAATGTTTGCCCAATATGGCGGGTGGTTGTGTATAATCATGGCATCGTCCATGTTGTCTTTAGGTTATTAGAATATTTTGGTGTTGCCTGCAGGTGTTATACAATAATTTGACAAATGTCTGAAATGAAATACCGACAGAGTCGAATGATTTACCCAGAATTTGTACCAGATCTATATCCTCTGTTTGAACAGTTGATAAAACATTTTGAACCAATATGCATGCGTTGTTTGTTTTAAAACATAGGTTATAGCATTTTAACAAAAATATGACAGCAGAAAGTTAGGTCATGGTGAAGTTGTATACCAACATATTTAACAGTTCCTAAAGAACAGTTGTATAAGTGCTTCCGTTGGGAGCAATTTGTTGGCTAAAGTAGTAAATTGCACAGCAAAACAACAAGGCTCGGGTTTGTTTTATAAACGTTACCATGGATGCCACAGCACAACTATTTTGACTAACGTGCAAATATGCCGTATAAAATAGTTGTATAAACGTTTATGAAACAGTTAAAAATTTGCCCTATAAGGTATTGTATAACTATGCCACAAGAATATTTTAAACATCTCACTTTAGAGCAAATATGTTACGGAAAGCAAATTTGCATTCCACACAACATTAAGCCGGCATTTTGGTGTTCAAGCAACAACAATAGAGAGCTTGTATGGCTGAACGGTTCTTTTACCAAAAGCTTATACCACTACTTTGCTAGTTGGGAAGAGTACCTAGTCTGCAAGATGACATTTCGTCGCTTTTTTTTACATTTCGTAGGTTTTTTATGACATAACGTAGGTTTTTCTACAAGATGTTAACTTAGCACACGCTGTTGTACACTTATTGTGAACTAGTTTTGTAGCTATACGTGTTGCTTAATCGTCAGCGAACAGTGACCATAGCCAGCAAACGTGAAAACTACGTAGTCTGCAAGATGGCATTCCGTCGTCTTTTTTTTGTAGTTTTTTAGGTTTTTTACATAGTACCCCCACCGGGGCTTTTCACAAATGCTAAAAGGGCTGTCGATCTTGTACCTCCTGCTACCCCAGTATATTGTGTCTTGGGTATCTAAGAGCCATTCAGTTTGAGTTTGGCAAATACGTTTCCTCCGGTCTACTCGTATATTTAAGCAACAGCAAAAATCCATGCATCAAACCATCAGACTTTCTTCACAGAGACGTTGAAATTCATGAATATCAATTTGCTATCAGAGTCTCAGAAACGTGATATCAATTGGTGAGAATACCTCTTGTCGTTTCTGCCACCCTAATACGAAATCTCCATCAAACCCTTTTTCCGTAGAAGAGTGAAAATTCATGAGCTGTCATAAGTACCTGTTATTAATTGGCGCGAATACCTCTTGTTGTTTTGCGATCTTAATACAAAATCTTCAACAATCTTCGCAGAAGCGTTTATATTCTTGAGTAGCAGATTATTGTCAGAAACACGGATACGTCAGGAGGTATGGAAAATGTAATTAACTCCTGTTATCAATTGGCGCGAATGCCTCCTCTAGTTCCTGCAATCCTAACAATAAATCTTCAACAGCCAAACTGCGCAAATCTGGAAACTCTGGGATAGAAGCTCTCAATCGTAGATGTTCAATAAAAAAATTGTTCCTAGGAACAACCACACTATGCATTAAGCCCAAGCTGCAGACAGCTACACACCGACTTCTTTATGTCCTAGGTACAGTGAAGTAACTTTAGCGCCCGCTGTCTTCAAAGTGGCCGATGGCATAGCATGGTCAATGTATTTAATATCCCCGCCAAAAAATTACTTTTTATTTATCCTATAGCGGTCGTAGGTCGTAAATAAAACGTTGTACCTATCTGGGGAGTAATAAGCGTTTACTTCTCTTGGCGCATTAGAGCCGGTGGCGTTTCACACCTTGGGCTTTAACTTAATTTTACGCAGCTGGCCATAAACTCCCTTCAAACACCCTAGATACATAGATAAAAGCCGCAATATTTTGAAATTGCCTTTGTGTGTGCTTCAATATTAAAAAATGACCATGTTCTTCTACTATATTAATATCACCTTAGCGCTTTTACCAAACTGAACAGCTACTAATCCCATATATATACTTGTGTCGCCATCTACCGGAAGACAGTGTAAGAAATATACGTAAGCCATTCCTGCTATCCTGCAACGAGAACATTTCCTGCTGTCTCAAGTTCTTTGCTTCTAGCAGGTAGCAAGCTTGATAACGGAAGTTTGTTCCAGTGTTGCCATATGAACTCGTATATCAAATTCCGAAGTATTGAATAACAACACTGGAAAGGTACATGTTACAAACGAAAAAGTTTAATCTACGACAGAGTGATAAAGTGTACCTTATGAATAGCTTTTCCGGGCGTTAAGTACCGCTTTCCAGACTTTTATGCCGCTAGGTAGAAATCAATCTGTGTTGAACACTAACACACTGACTTTCTTTATTTTCAGTAGGCGCGTCTATTTTTTGAATTTTTATTATAAAGCGGAAAAGGTAAAATTTATCAAAGTAAACATGCCGGGTACATGTTGCACAACATATGCAGGACGTTATGCTAGTCTGTAGTTGTTATATTGGAAACGTGCCTAAAAACAACCAATGGAAGAAGACCTTCAGCATGACCTTAATACTGACAATTTGAATGTCATATACCGAAAATAAGATGGTTTGAAGACATTCCAGCCTGACAGCACAGCAAGGTCAGCACCTACTCTTCCCAAGCACAAGATATATAAGCAAGTCTCTTCTGATTCATGCTTTTCAGCATCATCATTGGAATATCATGATACAAACAGTAGCACTTGATGGAGTTTCAAAATCCTTCAAAATGACAATCAAAAGATGAGTTGAAGGTCAACATCATTAGTTCGATATAGGCTCATGATACAAACAGCGGCACATCTTATGATTAGAATTTCAAAAACCTTGATACTGGCAATTGACGCCAAATTGACAAAGTAATTTGAAGCTGATTCGAAGATATTGCTTAAACGTGACAACGTAGCTAGGTCATTATGAACTCCTGATAATCAGAGGGTCCGTAAACAACCGCTCATCGAGCCTGCGTCGCACCGTAACGGACTGGCGGGTGTAGCGACCGTATCACGCAGAGTGCGAGTAACGGAATTTTGAGGTTATGAACGGACCTGCGAAGAAAAGCGGCGACAACGGTGTTGCTACTGGTGCGACTTATGCTGTCAGGTCTAAGCAGGAAAAGCCACGGTTGCCAGCGGGTCGAGGTTTCGTCAAGATGATGAACCCGTGCGTGATTCCACAGCCACCTGAGGATGTCGTTGGGGATGGTAGGTGGATGTCTATGGTATGTTGATGTTCTTTTTATTTTCCAAGAGTTATTGTGATCTACCGTTGACAATATAAAACAAAAGCCAAGGTAGAGCAAACTATTTTCTAGCTTTGACTTTCTAAATAGATATGCAATACAAGCGAACTATATTTTTCCAATAGTTATAAGACTTTTTAAATAATGTTGTTGCTGAAATATTCAGTTTATTTATAAGAAAGTTATCATCATCTGTATCGAGAGGTTACCATAATTCATATGAATCGACTCAAAATTCAATTAGTTGCTGTTTTAGGACCTATCAGAAAGAATTTTTTTGTTTTTTTAGGACATGTAGTATTGGTTGCCCCTAGAAGAGATTTTTTAGGGAGCAGCCACTAAAAACGATGGGAATTTTTTCCAAAAATGTTTAATAATAATAATTGGGAGGAGTCTGGTTTTATATCATATTACTGCGAGAAAAATTGAAAAATTTTTTGAAAGTTTGTGGTGTATGAAAAAACCATTGAGGTACGGATGATTAAGAAAAACGTAAATTTTGATTTTTTAATAGTTATTTTCATGTTAGGATGAAAGAAATCAGCGTTTTGAGCTACCTTGTAGACAATATTTTAAAGGTAACATTTAAACACGCAATGAAATAAATTTATATTTTTGATAAATCAGTTGAAAATCCGAACTCCGCAGCCCCACATAACCTCAAATGCACTAGCGGCGCACTACCGGCGCGCGGCGACTCAGGGGAGGAAATTCTGGAATAAAAGACATCTGTTACATGTGGGAACGCTTGTATGTAAGCATAATTACATATTTTCTTTTTGGACATTTTGAACATTTAAGCCACATTTGGATTGTCGTACATCTTTCTGTTGGACCTCTGTACACCTCTTTTGGCAATTTCAATCACAGAATAACAAATTCGGCCCTAAGATAAAGTTGTAGATGTTTTGTGAAAGCATTTTATAGTCAAAACAATATCATTCAACAAGTCAAAGAAATTATAACAACTGCGAATTTCGAGATCATCCGTACCTCAATCGTCCCATAAAGTATGTTTTACCTAACAGATTTTTAAAGTTTCCTCATAGTAACAAAAATTCGATAAAACCCGACTCGATCCTATTTTTACATTAGTTATAAGACTTTTTAATTAATGTTATCATTATCTGTAATGATAATTCATATAAATCCACTCAAAATTCAATTATTTTCCGTTAGAACGTATCAGAAAAAAAAATTTTTTTTTAATGAGATTTAGTATTGGTTGCCCCTAGAAGAGATTTCTTTGGGGGCAGCTACTTAAAAGACTGGATTTTTACCAAAAATATTTAATAATAATAACTTTTATGCATGACAGCCTCGCCGATATGAAACTTCAAATACGGGTTATTTACAATACAAGATACACAATGAAACGATGAAACGATAAAATCGAAACAAAATCATTGATTGAACAATATTTTTCTACAGAAAATGCATGCACACGTTTTTTGAAAGAGTTAGTAGCAACCAAGGTTCTGATATCATTAGCTAGTTTATTGTATATGGCGGCACATGTATACTCAGGACTTTTACGATAAGTGCTTAGACTGCATTTAGTATATATATATATAAGTATATGTATATATACAGGGTGACTTCGAAGTTGAGTCATTTATTTTAACAGTGAGTAGATCTGATCAAAAGAAATGTTTTTTCCTTTACCATTTTTCTGGTAAAATTAAAGTAACAAAGTTATAGCCCTTTGGAAGTTTGAGTACTGCCCTGTCTCAATAATAATATGTTCGTGTTTGGCGACAACGGATATAATCCGCCTGACCGGTTCATCGCATCGGAAACAAAAAAGCGAAAGAATTTGAAACGTTTATCACGATGTTTTTCGTCAGTCGATAACGCGTTAGTGAATGTTGGTGTTTGTTGCGTGGCTCAAACGAAATCAAAAATGGCACAAGTTTTCGAAAATGCTGAACTTGTGGACATGATTCGTATTTACGGGGGGGCAGTCTTTACAAAATGCTCCCGGATGCATCACGGATTTATGCGAATCGGTTTCCCAATCGAGTGCAACCAACCCCTCGTGCCTTTGTTAATGTAGTACAAAGGGCTCGTGAATCAGGTGACTTAAGACCTCACAGGTCAGGGCATGCTGCTCCAAGACCGCACGATCAAATACAGGTCCGCACTGAAATACTTGTCGGGACGATACTTTATTAAACAAGGTAACATTTTTTTTTATTTATTTTTTTATTTTTACACACATATTTTGGATTATCTTCCTTCTACAATCATTATCTGAAAATTAATGACTCAACTTCAAAGTCACCCTGTATATATACAGGGTGTCCGCAAAGTTGGGGTTTTCCTTTACACGACGTGTAGATCTTGAAAACATAAGCAATTTTTCTTAGTACCATATACACCAATGTCTTAAGGGAACCGAGATAAAGGGCTCTGCAACATCAAAAATATCTGAATACCGTCCTGTAGCCGCGACATCCCCCAGTGGTACTAGTACACTAGGTCAACCCGACGACAGAACTGGGTCGGGGTCAGTGCGTCAGGTCAGTATGCAACCTTCAACCGACGGTTACGGTCACGCGTGTAGAGATAATCGCGTAGACGAGAATCTCTCAACAAGCACTAGAGACGTGGCTAGAGAAGTGCAAGTATCAAAAACTAAAGTGTGGCAAACGCTGCGTGAAGAGGGGCTGTATCCGTTTCACGTCCAACGTGTACAAGCCCTTCAACCTGACGATTTTCCAGCAAGAGTGCGGTTTTGTGAGTGGTTGTTGCATCAACATGACAATAATCCGGACTTTTTGAAGTGCATATTGGTGACAGACGAATCTACGTTCACGCGTAATGGGATGAATAACTTTCGCAACACTCATGTTTGGTCAGTAGAAAATCCGCACGCTGTCCGTCGGGCACATTTTCAACAAACATTTTCGGTGAATGTTTGGGCTGGCATGGTGAACGGTATGCTCATTGGACCATTTATTCTCCCAAATCGATTGGACGGGATGCAATATCTAGACTTTTTACGCAAAATTTTGCCTTCCTTGTTTGCCTGCGTGTGCTCGGTAGCGCATCAGCTGATTTCATTTCCTGTTGGAGCGGTATGATTTCGGGCAGAGACGTACTTAGCCCTTCTCGTCAACTGGAGAGTGAGTACTTTTTCCTTTATTTTTTTTTACTTGGTCGCCCTCGTTTCACTACACATTACCTTTGTTATTCCAAGGGTAGTTGTTTCTGAAAAGGAAAACCCCAACTTTGCGGACACCCTGTATATATATATACTTTGAAGTTGAGTCATTAATTTTCAGATAATGATTGTAGAAGGAAGATAAACCAAAATATGTGTGTAAAAATAAAAAAAAAACTAAAAAAAATGTTACCTTGTTTTATAAAGTATCGTCCCGACAAGTATTTCAGTGCGGACCTGTATCTGATCGTGCGGTTTTGGAGCACCGGCATGCCGTCCCCTGTGAGGTCTTAAGTCACCTGATTCACGAGCCCTTTGTACTACATTAACAAAGGCACGACGGGTTGGTTGCACTCGATTGGGAAACCGATCCGCATAAACATGTGCCATTTTTTATTTCGTTTGAGCCACGCAACAGACACCACTATTCACTCACGCGTTACCGACTGACACTGACTGTATACAACTGAATAAAATAATTGTAAAAACATCGTTCCAAATTATTTCGCTTTTTTGTTTCCGATGCGATGAACCGATAAGACGGATTATATCCGTTGTTGCCAAACACGAGCACATAATATTATTATTGAGTCAGGGCGGTACTCAAACTTCCAAAGGGCTATAACTTTGTGACTTTAATTTTACCAGAAAACTGGTAAAGGAAAAAAACATTTCTTTTGATCAGATCTGCTCACTGTTAAAATAAATGACTCAACTTCGAAGTCACCCTGTATATATTACTTTTAACGAATGAACAAGCCCCAAGTATAAAAACACAAGGAAATTTCAACAGATGATTTGACTGAAAGATAGTTCGACAAATTTGTAGACGGATCAACGAAAACATTAATTTTATAATCTTTTTTTGCAATATCAATGCGCGATGAACATCCCCAGAGCATAATAAACATTCAGTAAATACTTAGTACTCATTGTGTTTTTTAAGTTACGCACCGCAAAACAAGCTGAAGTGAGTTTTTCCATGACAACAGTCTCTCTTCTACTATTAATTAAAAACGTGTGTTCGACCATGTTACGTTTATAGTGGCACATATTATATTTTGTTTTATTTTCATTAAGTTACTAGTTATCCAAGATTGCAGCTGATCTAATACTGACTTGGCCGTCAACACAAGTTCTTCCGGTGAGTCATCCGATATACTGATGAACGTGTCATCTGCATGTAGGAGATTCTTTTTTTTTTCATAAAGTGAAAATATAATTTTCTTGATAATGATTTTCGTATTTGTTGAAAATCGGTTGATTAGAAAAAAAATAAAATGCTTTTGTTCTTTATTTCACAATGTGAAATAAACAATCTATGTATAGCACCACTTAGGTAGCTTTTAGAAGTAATCTCAAATGGTCTAATATCAAAAAAACTATAAGGAAGCCCCAGCTTCTTGGTTATACTCCTGACTCTCCCCAGTATAAGCCCTTAAATCTAAACTCTAAATTATGTTTGGTACTGTATATGATGACTGTTGTACTTGCTTGGAATAAATAATTTCAGTTTAGCCCTTCTTAAAGTTAGTATTATGTTAAATATATTTATAATCATCATTTCATTCTACCTAATATCCTTTTATTTATTGAATAGATTGTGCGCGCATTTTTCATCGTTACAAGTTTCCTAACAGCGCTTTGTCTTATAAAGAGATAATCATTATTATTCGACCCACAGATAACCTGGCGACTAGTCATGTAGCAGATATTATTCTAACACTTTCAATTATTCCAGTTAAAGTACGTTAATTCAACCTGCATGTCACTAACTTTGATGAATATGTTGATGGTAATCATATTACGCGTG